CACACACAGCTCTGAGCTCTGCTTTGCTGTGTGAAAGCACAGAGTCCCCTGGTTATGGCTCTGTACTCCAGGGAAGGTGTTGGACAGGCCAGTGGGTACATCAGGAACTACAGAAACAATGAGGTGTAGAAGTGAGGGAGACTCATCCCTGGAGAGGCACTGTGGTACACAGGTATGAGGAAGGAGCAGAACATGTGCATGTTGACATTTGTTATCTGCAATGCACAAGACAGCTTTGTTGATATCAATTGGAAAATACCTGTAATATGTGCATAACTGGTAAATGGAGGAAATTGGGCACTTAATGCATGACTAAGCTGGGACTTTGAGACACAGATTGCCAATATCACTTTAATGAATGACGGTATCCTCTTCCTGCAGTGGCTTACAAAGCTGTTTACAGAAAGTATGGAGCCACCCAGAAAAGTAGCCCTGGTGTCAGCTGTTACAGCTGGTGTCACATATATGCTTGGGGGACAAAATGGCTTTTTCTTTTCTTTTTCTTTTTTCTTTTTTTTTTTTTCTGCTGTATGTGAGGTTGCAGATGTTGTAAATGCTGCGGTCTGCTGCACCCAATGGAAAACAAACCAAATAAATTTAGTGAATGCAAAATAGCAGTAGTAAAAGGCTATTTGCCTTTGGTCCACTGGGCTGCTAAAGCTTCAGAGAGACTAAATAGATCCATCTGATATTCAGATTCCAGGTGTTGGAAGGATAGGGACAAATCGTAGTGAAGGGTCACAAAGACTTCCTTGTGCCTGAGGAGGTTTGGGTAACAGTCTCCTGGACTCTCTGCAGGCTGAGATGTCCAGAGGCCACCATGGCTACACCACAGTTCCATTAACACCTTTTCTCCTGATGCTGTGTAGAGAATGGAAAGACAAAAGAACGCAGGGAAAGCACTTTGAGTAGGCAGGGATGTTACTAAGAGGTGTTCTTGTGCCAAAAAAGCTTCCAGCCTGAAGTACTTGATGCCTTTACCTGGGAACTCAGACATGTGCAAGCTCAGGTTGGAACACAACCCTGTGCCCTTTCAGGGAGAGAGGGGTGCACAGGGAAGCCATGGCAGGTTTGCTTTGGCCTCTGCACTGCCTAAACCCACCTCAGCAAGGTTTGCAGCAAGGCTACTGAACACCTTGTGGTTGTCACTTGTTCCATACATCCCGTTTCTCTGCATCCCTTTTGCATGACCAAAATCCTAAAATGATACCCAAAACCTTAGTCTGAATAGAAGCTCTCTTCTCTTAACCTAGTTTTTATCTCATTTAGAGGACAGCAGTAACAGCTGGACAAGAACAACAACTTCAAGGTGTCTGTTGAGACCTCTACAATAAATTACTCATGAAATCAAGGCCACTTGAAACTACTTTAACTTTTAAATTTTGTGTTGTTATTAAAACAATGTAAAAGGGAAGAATATTCTAAACAAATTTTAAGTTTCCTCTGATATTTGCATATGAATCCAAAGTGAACAAAACCAAGGTTATTATTACTAAGGGCCTGCCCTAATTCAGGGGTGAAAAAAAAAGTGAATTATGTATTTTACTGCTTTAATATATGTTTTAATATATATGTATATATTTAGACCTTCATCTTAAGTAATGTGTAAGGAAATAAGCCATTCTTTTAAACTGAAATTAGTATGATTGCTCTGGCTTACTGAAAGTTAAAAAGAAAAAAGGACCTAAAATCTACATTTAAACTACTGAGAGAGAATTTGATGTGCTTTTAAAGCTGACATTGGCCTGTACAAGTGGATGACTAATTAATTTCATATTTCTTCATCAAAGAGCTAGAAGAAGTGTTTGGTTACAGGATTATTTTTATTTTATATATAGTAGTGTATTTACATGTATCTGATCTTGCTGGTGCTTAAGAAATACATGAACATTTTACATAACTTACCTGAGCTGAGTCTAAAGGTGAATGAAGACTACTCTGATAACCAGTAATTAGTGAGCTCTCTGAAATTAAGGATACATAGATCTGACAAAACAATAGCACTTATTCTAGACATAAATCTGTTTTTAAAAAATTGATCTAGTACATGTAAGTTTGAAAGTCCAGACTCAACATGAGCTGAGGCTGCATATTAATGGTGAAAAACATATGCTTTTAAATGCAGTTACCCACATTTACCCTTGCAGTCTCTACCACAGGGAATATTAAAACCTGACTCAATACCTTTGAGGGTGTGATACAAACTTGAAAATATAATTCAAAAATAAGGTTTGCAGCCCTTCATTAATGCATGCTAATGTGGCCTTGCTGCATAATGGTGTATGAGTAAGGCTTTCACTACTTTCTTTCAACTAGTTTAATCATCACCTTGAAAATGCATTTAAATGAGTTGTTCTCTCTGCTGCATAACACTCAGTGAACTAGGGTATGTCTTGCTTGCATAGATTAATACTTACTGGTGTTCAGATAAGGCTGTTAGTCCATGGGGAAAAGTTGCTACGTGTGCTTGTATTAATAAATAGTTCTTAAACACTGTCTGTGTTCTGGATCACTCTCTCCCCAGGAGATACAGCTCCCATCAGGCTGCACCTGGCCCTGTGCTTGCCCTGTGCCTGTCTCACAGAGACAGCAGGTGTCAGCAACAACGTTTCCTCTGCCCTTTTAACCAAGAGGTTTCACAGTGCTATTTCCCTGGTTTGTTCCAGGCTCCAGCCAAAAAGCTGTGAAAGTAGAAAGCACTGAAAAGAGTTTATGGGATGAAGTAAAATATTATTTGGTTAAAGCCACTTCCTTTTCCTCATCACCTGTTTTATTCTGCCCTATTTCTCTACTGCCTACTAAGTTTCTTAAAAATATATTCAGTATTTGGGACAATGTTCTCTCTTAGTTCTTAGAAGTTAATACATGTTAAAAATTCCTTCATCCCTTTGAAGCTCATTGATTAATGCACCCAAAATCCTCTCTGTCCTGATTTTTGTATGACATAACTCTTTGGTGAGTAGAGTTTCGTCACTTTTGCAATCTTGGTCCTCCAAAAATGATGCAATGTTTTCTCTTAAATACCTAATGCTGATAGCCACTCTCCCAAATGTGCCTACCTGGGAAGGCAACATATATATGAACAAAATCTAGTTTTTCTCATAGTGTTGAAAATTGAGAGTACATCATGGTTTTAGTTTTGGTTACACATTAAAGCTAATGGTACAAATTAGGGATTACTGAAGTTGCCAATAAAGATAACCTAAGAAGTTTTCCCTGATGTCCTAAATGTGGGCTCTTCAGTACAGGTATTTCTAACCCACACAGTCCTGCTGGACCGCAGGATATGTGTTTGGTGTAAGAGATGTTTTCACAATCTCTTTAAACGTGCATCAAGGCAGGGGACATCAAACCAAACATATGCTTTTTGAGAGGGAAATTCCCTTTTATTTAGAGGAAATTGTATTCCTGTTTCTCCTTGGTCCATTTTATTTCCCAGCTGCAGAAAGAATAAGAGCTGCTGTGATTTCGGAACACAGGGAGAGGGATTAGTACGTGGTAGGACAGGACATGGTGCCATGGAATGTGCTCCTGTGAGCAGCTGTGCACTTACAATTCAAATTAAACACTTCTTCCATGCCCAAAATACAGTTGTCTACATACCCTTAGCTCATTACAGATCACAGAATTGTCAGATTTATTGAAGTAATCGGTATTCATCTGTCATCCAGATCTTGTTAGACCCACAAGAAGAGATAGGAGTTGAGATAAAGTGTCATGGTTACTCTGACAACAGCACCAAAATAGAAACACACAGATGGACAATGTACTAGCCTGTTTGGTTTTTGGTTTTTTTAAATACCAATTCTGCATAGAATATGAATTATTAGCTGTGTCACAGTGTTCCATTATCTTTCACTGTTTAGGCACAATAAAATATTAGACACACTTTTGCAGCCCAGCAATTCTATAAGATGCTTAAGCTTGTTCTGTTGCTGATATAATGACGGATTGCAGATTGTCACTGAGGGAAAAACAAAAGCTTGTATGTTACCATCAAAATATCAGTATTGATCGAAACATTCCTTATATACAGGTATGTAAAAGTTACTCAGATTTTTACAGCAACAGAACAGAAGAAGAATTGCCATAATGCAGTGGGAAATGTTCTCTGTAGACGTTTTATGCTGCTTTGTCCTCAAATTCACCCATAGGGAAAACCATGTGTGAAAGAATCTCCTTCCTCGGTAGTAATAACTAATAACCACTTAGTTTGTGAGCAACTAAAAGCAAGTGGGCTACCCACTTAAGACAGAGGATGACCTCCACTGTCATCCTCTTGCCTCTCCCTTTCCTTCACTCGTCCCCCATCTGGCTCATAGCCACATCCCCTTCTATCTACAACAACCTTTCTTATCTTCACCCCTTCCCCTTCCCTGTGCACGCTGGCCCTGAGGCAGAGCCGGCCCTTTGGGACGGGGCAGGAGGGGACCGCGGAACCAGCGCTGGAAAACCTCCAGTGAAAATAATAAGATGTTGCACAACTTCCTTTGCTGGTTAATCACAGAGCTGTTTCACCCCATCTCCTTCCCGCAAGTCGTTGCTGGCTCTTACATGTGATGTATCACAGCCCTTTTAAAGCTCTCGAAACCTGGAAGACATCTCTGAGCCCTCAGCCTTTCGTCAAAGGTCACGCTCCGTTCCTTGTACTCGCTGCTGTCACGCAGGACATCCTGCTCTCCTCGCCGCGCCTCCCTCGCACGGCTCTGTGTGTGCGCCGGGCTGGGGCGAAGCACCCGGAGCTTTGTCTGGGGAGACGCGGGGCCAACCAAGCAGTTCCCTCTCCCTCGTAACGGCCCTGAGGGGTCCCAGGGCTCCTGCCGGTGCCCAAATCCCTCACCTGCCGGTGCCCAAATCCCTCACCTGCCGGTGCCCAAATCCCTCACCTGCCGCTGCCGAGCGGACGCCCCGGCCCGCCGGGAGCCGCAGCCAAGGGAGGCGGTGCGGGCGGGCGGGGACGCGCAGCCCCAGTGGCCGCCCCAGCGCCGCCCCCGCCCCGCCGGACCCGCCGCGTCCCGGGCCCGGGCCGGGGCCGCCGCACGGAACAGGAAGTGTCGCCGGGAGCCGGGAAAGGCTCGGCGGGGCTGAACGGAGCCCGAGCCCAGCGAGGCCCCTCCCCGAGCGGCCGGCGGAGGACGATGGGGGCGGCCGGGCTGCTGTGGGCCCTGCTGGGGGCCCTGCTGCTCCCGCCGGTAAGGACGGATGGGGCCGCTCGGCGCTGCCGGCCGAGGGGCTCCCTGTGCCCGCCCGGTGCCCGTTCCCGGGAGCTCCCGGCCCGGGCTGGGCTCCCCCCGGCCCGGGGTTGGTTTGGCTCCGCAGAGCGGCCCGGGGCGCTCTGGCCTCGGTCTGGGCCTCGGGAGAGGCCCCGCGGTTCCCGGGCCGGGCCGGCTCCGGTCACGCGCTGGGAGTCGGGATAATAAACCTACCGGGTGCCCGCGTGGGTAATCCTGTTGTTTCTAGAGGCTTTTAAATTATGGTGCAGGAAAGGGGGGAAGCTCGTGGTGCTTGTGTGTGTCCTGTCTTTTGGCTTATCTCCAGTGCCTTTTCGGTTTCGGTGTGGGACGTACTCGGAGCTTCCCCCTTTCCACAAGTGGACATTGGAATCTGGCAGGCTGCTTTCTGCCAAAGGGGGTAGTGAAAGGGGGAAGCCAGAGACCTCTGTAATCTGCTGAGGCAGTACGAGGGGCTTATCTGCATTAAGTGCTGCTCCACTAAATTGTGGTGGTGGTGTTGTTTGGGGTTTTTTGTTTGCTTTATTTTGACACAGTTTTTATCTTGTTTTGGTAAGATAGGATGCAGAGTACTTCCTGTGTAGGAAGTCACCATTGGATATGCGACAGGTGCACAGCGTAGTCTGCTAATGCCTTGAGAATGCTTGTGGATGAAGTAACTACTGTCCTCTCCCTGTGAGTCACACACAGTTGTCACTAGTTTTTCTGAAGAGTGGTTTTGCTCCTTAAACCAATGGTTTGCTGCTGTTGACAAGGGAAGGGGCATCTGCCCTCCTGTAAGACTCCAGCCCCGTGTCCTGCCTCTTCCCTTGCTCTACAAATGCAGTTGTAGCAGTGGTGAGCGTTGGATCCGGGTCATTCTGCCTCAGGAACAGTATCTAGAGATTAACAGCGTGGGGAGTTGGCTCTCAGGAAGGTCATAAGTGTTCAGAGAAGGATCACTGCTGCTCTCTGGGCATGGGCACCTGTTCCTGGAAAGAGGGAAGAAGGGACAGTTTGTGTGTGTCACAAGGCCACTGGCAGAACAGCAAAATTATGCTTGTTCTTTCATGGCTAGTTTTTTTCCTACTTTTTTATGATTCTCTTTCTTTCTGTGTTGTTACTTGCTGTGCATGGAACACCTTCTCCCTGCTCCGTACCTTTGAGTTTCTGTATGTCTTATCTGGATGCTAATTATGATAGTTGCTGTAAATATAGGCTTGGTTTGGTCTCTGTGTCTAGTGGTTCATCTGACTTCCTGTATTCTGCTTGGTGGAGTTACTGGTACCTCCAAAGCTCAGCAGTCAGCCCAAGGTTATATCCCTGCAGTGACAGGACATGGTAGGAAAATTAGAGAGCAAGAGGCAGAGTGATACTTCTTCTCTATCAAAGATAAGGAATTATGCAAGAAGTGTTTAAAGGTGCTAAGGGAAGGAAATACAATGAGAGAACTGCCTTTCAAAAATAGGAAGGAATTTGTTTGGAGGTGAGGGGCCGTTGGGAACTGTCTGAACCTGAAGTGAAAGGAGATGGTGATGCTTCCTTAGGTTAGGACAGCTGTCATGCCTCTGCTCCCTGTGAGAACATTTTTGTGCTAGAGCAAGTCAACTTGTGGAAACAGGTTCATCTTTTCAGGACCTGCTTTTGTGGACACACTCTTAGTCTTTCTCTTAAGTAACAAGATTGAAAATGTGCTCAGTAAGACATTTTTACTTTGCCTGTATACTGAGAGTAGCATTTATTCAGTGGCACAGCTGACTGCAAGGCCAGGTGCCCAAACTCGTAGCCCTTGTCTGTTGTGAAAGAAGGACACTGAAGCAATTAGAAAATGAGAGAACTTCAGCTGGATGCAACAGGATTTCAGTGGGGATGTTCCAAGTGAGGTGCATCAGTGGTGTTTGTTTTAATTTTTTAACTAATAAATGCTGTCTCCAGAGCTCAGCAATGAATACGTGTGGGTACACGTCACGCTCTGGTCCTGCCTCCCTCCACCCCATGAGGATGAATTGTGTTCCCTGATTCATCCCCAGGGAGGGGAAGCTTGCCAAACAAAACAGGCATATCAAATAGGCAAGTAATCACTCCTTCTAGGTAGATTTACGCTTGTGTAGCATTAACAGTTGATTTCCTGGGACCCAGAAGACACTTATTATTCTACTTTGTGAAGCAGAAAGAGCCTTTAATAGATGGAAACATCTGGGGTTTGCACCTGTTGGAAGTCTTTACTGCTTTTAATTTACCATTAGTTTGTATTTTTAGGTGAGTACACTTAAGAGGGAAGATTGATAATTTTTGTGCTGATCATAAATCACGGAACAATTTATTTTAGGTGACGGCTGAAGAACTGTTCTGTGTTAAACAGTTAATGTGCTCAGGCCCTTTGACACAGTTCTCCCAGCAGATGTTCATGCACTGTGGCCAATATAATGGATTCCTCTGAAGAAGGTTTTTTGCTATTCAAACCAGGCAGACATAAACCTCTGAAACAATATCGTCACATGCTTTGCTTTTCTCTCCAGTTCACACTTGCTGAAGAATACGGATCTATGAGCTTGAGGAGAAATGCCTCTGTAGCATTGTTAATGGTTAGCGCTGTAAATCCCACAAGTATTTGGGCTTTCCCCCCACACCCACTTCCAGCTTAATATCTCGGTGTTCTTTTATACAAATCTGGACTTTACAACAGGAGTTAAGTTTATTTATTTTTAATCTAATGATTAGCACTTCTTGTTGTGGAGATCAGTTTCTGTCTCAAAACAAACAGATGAAATGAGATCATCTCCCAGTTTTCCTAAGGTGACACTTCTTTGAGATATAAGTTATGTTTAATTGTTTTCAGTACTATACAGCTGTAGCTGCATCTAATCTTAAGTCTATTCATTTATCCACTTAGGTACCTGACATTCATTAATGCTTAGGGAGAGGCAGATATCATAAAATTACCAGAAATTTTAAAATTCAGATGTATTGGTAAATAACAGAAATCATATTATGTGAGGGGCTCTAATCTTAAGAAACACCAGAATTTCCTTAACTTCACAAATTCTTCTTAAAGTACACCAGTTGGTCTCTGTGTCTACAGTTATTTGAGGAAAAATTATTTCAGGAGTTGTTATATCATACCCTTATTAGTAGGGGAAGTTCTAGGGTCTGCAAGGAGGGAAAGACTCATCTTTTTTCCATGTACTGTTCTAATTGCTTTCCACGTAAAGTTTTACACTTTTTGGAAGGCACAGGATACAGAATCTGAAATCACTTGCCTGGGTTTCTTGCTGGTATTCTGTTCTTGGTGACACGAGCTGTACATGTCATGGATACATTGTGTTTGCAAAGAGGATGAGCAGCGTTACAGTAACGAGGTTCTCCCTAGTTTTCCAACCTGCTTTCAAGCTGCCCATCTCTCATGGAATCAGTCATTTTGTAAAACAATTAACGGAATAAATTCTTTTTCTCCTAACGGCTCTTTTTCTTCCCAACAGCTTTTTTGAAGCGTGTCTGTGTCAGTGGTGTTCTGAGCTCTGTTTAATTGAGAACTCCTGTTTTATTGCAGGTGGCTGCAGATGAGGGGATCCTGCACGCCTCTGGGAGCGGGCTGCCCCCTGTGACTAAGGATTACTGCATCATTTACAATTCTAAGTGGACATCTCTTCCAAAAAGCCTGGACAATGCTGTAAGTAGCTTATAGTCACAGACTCTGAGAACTAGAATGCAGTATGAATTTGGGTCAGCTATAACTGATCTTCAAAATTTTGAGTTAAGTGGGTGCTACACTGAATATTTACCGTTTTGGGTCATACTGTCTCCTCCCTGTCACCCCCTGAAAAAAACTAGAGTGAACTTTTCTATGCTTTAAAAGGGCAGCTTCTAAAACTTACAAAGGGGTTCTCTCTCTGTGCTTAGAACTGGTTTTAAATGTGTTTATGTGTTCATTTGATACTGTTAATTTCTTTTCTTCAGGTGTTATCATTGTGTCTGTGTTTTATATTTGGAAGTTAAAGTTCTGTTTATTTGTTTACAAAATTGATAAACTTTTGAAGCAGTTTTTTTATATTGTTCAACAGTTTGATGTACTGTTTACTTGTCTTCAAAACATGTGGTGTAATAGATTATCTGGAATGCAACATCATGCCTTATTCTCTGAGTGTGTTGGTGTGAGGCAGAAAAAAATGTTCTTTAGGCACTCTTCATATGAATAGGAAATACCTCATGTTCAGGAGTGATCAAGGCACTCTGCTTTCCCTTCTGTCATTCATTCACAGAGTAACTCAATATAAAAAAGAGTAAAATCATTTGTCTGCCCCAGACATCTTTGCTGGGCCATTTTAGTTAATCAAGACATCCAAGGGGCTAAAGAAAACTGGCAATAATTTAAAGAGAATTGTCAACATGAAATTAAACTTTGAAATAAGGATATAATTTTTTAATTACTGTTTTGTAGTAAGTAATACATTATCAGACTCAACAGCTGGTTTTGAACAAACATTATACTTCGGAACTCTGATTGTGTTCTATCCATCAGTGCCCTTTTGGCTTGTGGAGCCTGGAAATATCCCAGAGTGTACATTGGATTCCCCAGAACTACAAGTAGGGGTTTTCCTACATAACCAGTTTCTTATGTTTAGATTACAGGAACAACTGCTGTGAAATTGCACTTAGAAACAGCCCGGTTATTTCAGTTATATGCTGCTCTAAATGTCCCTCAGTATTGCAGGCTGCAGAAACAGCTGCTGTAATTTCATGTTCCTGAATTAATGATTGTTCTGCTACACCTCTTTCTGGCAAACCTCAAGTCAAGGACCATAGTAATGCACTCGTCCAGGTTAGTTTGTAATGTCAGATTTCCTAACTTTGTCACGTTTCTTTTCTCTGCAGACTTTCAGGACTCTGGAAAACCTGACTTCCACAGTCCTCTGCAGTTCCTCTGAAGTTCCTTCTGGCATCATGAAGGACAAAGCAGTTGTAGTGATGAGAGGAAACTGCACCTTTCTGGAGAAAGCAAGAATTGCACAAAGTTTGGGTGCTAAAATGCTGTTGATTGCCAGTAAATCCAGGCTGGTAAGTTACAACACAGTTTTCTTCTGTGGTGAAAGTGTCTTACCTGTTTGATCCCATGCAGTGTTGTACAGGGGTAGCTGAGAGAAGCCCAAAAGCAGAGCACTCTGGCTGTGGGTGGGATTCCAGCAGGACTCATTTACCCTCCCACAGAGCGCTGTGCTGATGGGACTGGTGTTCTGAGTTACCTCTGTGCAATGCTGGGTTATATCAGCTGCAAGTATCTACAACCAAATTGTGTTGTTATTCTCTTCCTTGTATCTTTAGTCATGTTTCTGAATGCAAATACTTGTCTTTATCATTCCCTAATTTTAATGCATTCTGAACTCCATGTAATCTTAGGTAATATTGCTTTAGACATGTATGATAAAAATAAGCTATGAAAATGTAATCCAAAATTGAAGATGTAGAGGTATTTTGAGATATTTTCACAGATGCTTCTGTTGCTTTTTTTGTTCTCTATTACAGCTGCAACATTTTTGTACTAATATGTGCAATTTATGAATTTGTGTGATTATCATGAAAAATCGATCTTGTTTTAGGGGTGTAGAGAATAAAAGCAGTTTTGATTATCTCTTGTAATACTATAAAAGCACAATATGAATCCAGATGTGTTGGTAGTATCACCTGTTTTGATTTAAGTACATCAGTCTTCATTAACCTTTAGCAAAGGGTGATGAATGGGGCTTTTTGGTTTTTTTACCTTCCTGGAAATACACTGAAATTTAAAGGATAATCTGCTTTTAGTGATATAACCTGCTTCACAAATAGGCTCAACATACTTATCACTTTAAACTTTGTCTTTTAGTCTGCTATTTCAGATAACAAGACTGATACTGAAGATGTGACTCTTCCAGTTGCTCTTATAAGATACAATGACATAGTAGATATGCAGCTGGTAAGTGACAGAACTTCAGCATGTTATGGTTTGTATAAACTCAGGTATTTGAACAAATAAATAAAATAATTTCAGGTTAGATACAGATGTCTGCCTGGTGTGACTGTGCACAGATACTGCTTTCGGTTTCTCAGAAGAGGATGGACATTAAATCATGGAAGTGCTGGTCTTCCTAACTCAGATGAATGAGAGAGAATGATTGATTAGAACACCAAGAATGGGAAACACAATACCTAACTGGAGGTAGGGAAATCTTAGAAGTCTTCCTGCTGAACAAGATAAGCTGTCTTCCAGTACACTTGTGTACAGGTACAGATCCTGACAGACATGGAGAGCTACAGCCTGAGAGGGCTGTTCTTTTAGAAGCTACAACAGCTGAGCTTGTAGCTATGGCACAACAGCTTTCAGGCAAGCAGCATCTTGTCAGGTTGGATATTGAGGAGGGTGAAAGGGTTTTTTGTCTTTGCCAGATGATGAATTCTCTCTTTATATGGCATGACAGCATCTGTTACAGTGGTTAGGCAGTATAGTTTGAGTTTCTGCTGCTGAGTTCATGGTGAGATGCCAAATGCTTGTCATTAAAATTTGGCAGTTGTGGTATCTCCCTGTAAGCAGGGAAGTTTGTTTTGGGAAGTATTTGGAGTTTCTTTTCTTTGATGTTTACTATTAGGATATAGAATATTGCAGAGAGTTTTAAGGAAAACAGTATATTTTCTTTGGTGTGGCTTTTTCTGTTGTTATTATATTGTTGTTTTAGATTTTTTATTTAGTGTTAAATAGTTTTGCTGAGCAGGAGTTGCACTGCACATATTTTTCTATGTGGAGCAGAGGGTAGTTCTAACCTCTGTAGTCTTAGCTTCTTGGGATGACTTTGCAAGCTCACTTTGTCATTTCTGCTCTCAATCTTCAGAGCTGCCATGGGAGGTTGTCTTAGGTAAGTATGCAAACTGAAACTGCCTAGATTTATAGGATTTTTGGTTGTTTACTGTCTGTTCCCATTAAGATTGCTACTTGCTGAGCACTGACAGGACTGAAGGTTTGTGATGACTGATCTCAGTCTGCCGTAGCCTTGATAAATCCTGTGGATTGGTTCAGGTTGTCCTCTGTCTTCAGATTTGTTCCTTCAAGTCAGACAAGGTTCATTTGCTTAGTTGAGTGATTTTAAGATGCCTTAGTAACATGAAAGGGAACTAGGGCAAAGTTTGGTCCCTAATTGGTTCTGAATCTTCTGTGCACCACTTTATTGCCCAGTTTTGCTCAGGGTGGTGTCGTGTAGAATCACTTCTGCATAGCCATAGTAATTCACCAAAGCAACTTTGCTGGTAGATTGGTGTGCCAGATGATGTCTCATACTGCTGTTGAATCAAAGAGTTCATATTTGTCTTACAACGAGATAAAAGTGGTGAGGAACACAGCCTAGACTGCAAGTGATCCTTTCCTAGTTCTGATGCAGTTTTTTGCCAAAGCCTCCTGTCGTGTCACTGGCAGCTGTTGTTGTGAATGGTATGTGCTGCTTACACTGACAGCCATTGTACTCTGCCCACTGCAGTTGTATTTCTGGTCTAACTCTTTTTAAGGCTTCCAACTTTCTCCCTTTATTTAGAAGAGACAGACAGCACCAGTCTGAGGGTAACTAGTTTGTATAAGCATTCTTTTTACTTTTTCTTACGAGACTTCATCTCTGTGAGTCTTCACCGTTTGAGGCAAGTCTGGTTTGTGTCTTGATAACAATAACGGTGTCACAAATCTAGTCAGCTCTCTTGCAGTTGTTATCTGATGCAATCTGTTTGATTCTAGTGCTCCCTGTGGAGGAAGTTGAGACTTTGCAAGTTTTTAGTGAAGAGAAGAACAATATAGGAACAAAAGGAAACAATTATTTTAGATTCTAATGTTAATTATACTTTGTAAGATCTATGAAACTTAAAGGGACAACTGGATTAAGATATGTTGGAATTTATTACTAAAATTGTATAAGCCTATAGGTTTCTTGGGGGAGTTGGCACTTTTTTGGGTCTGTTTTCTTTTAAAATTTTTTTACATAGAGGATGCTGTAATTTGAATAGGTCTTTTTTTCTCTTTAATGTTATGTTCCACTTCATGCAACTGCAATGTTTCACTAGAATTTAATTTTATTCCTTGTTTTCTGAACTTCCATAACTTCAGGCAAAAGAGTGATTCTGACTTATTTAGCCTGCAGGAAGGTTATTATCTGTAATTAAGTAACTCAGATGCTGAAATAAATCAGCTTTCTTCCCATGTGGCCACTGTATTCCACTGCACTGCTGGGCTTCCCATTCAGTCTCTCTACTGCCAGTTTGATCTTCCTGTAGCCAAACCTGCCTGGCATGTTCTTCTGCTCTCCTGCTTTTATCTCACATGCAGACTGTAAACAAATCTGGGTTTTTTGCAGCATCTCTGAAGTCTGTTCTCACTGCACTACTGCTTTAGATGTCTTGACTTACTTTGACTGCAACAGCAAGCCTGTCTTCCCTACCACCTTCCATTTCCTGTCAAATTATCATCCTTTCTTTGCTTCTTAAATCTCACCTCTCAGTCAAATGGAAGCACCTTGGTTTTGCTTTCAAGATTTTTGTAGGATTCAGTACCAGTTACATCTCAGCGTTCCCCTCCATTTTCTTCAATGTCTTTCAGTTGATTATTTTATTTACTTAGGTCTTAAATTTTACAAGTGATGTGAAATGGCTTTCTTTTCTTTTGAATCCATCCCAAATCTTATTTATGTAAAGCTGTTAGTAAATAACTTCCTGCCACCTTGATTTTTCACTGTGTTCTCTCTGAAGCATCGTTATCTGTATCTGAACTGTGAGGTTTGTGGTTTCAAGAGGTAGATCTGTGCCTATATCTTAGTGGACCTGTGAGTTTGTATTTCAAGTTGATTGCTTAGATGTGCTTTCCTGCAGAGCAGACATCTCTGCTAGTACTTGGTATATTTGGGCTAGAGACACAGCTTCTGGAAAGTTTGGAAAGAATGCAATTTTCTCTTGTGGTCTCCCTGTGTTTCCACACCAGTAGTAATAGGGTTGTTTCCAAACCTGACCATCCTGAAAGGTAGCATGGAAAACCTTGCTTCTTGGCAAATATATGGGATGTTTTGTGCACTAAGTTGAAAACTTCCTCTCAGCATTGTCTAGATCAAGAGCAGGAAATCCTGATGTACATCTTGTTGGAAAATAAGCCCTATAATTTCTTTGTTCTCCTTATGAACCAACTTGTGTGTTATTTTTCAGACACTTGGAAATGAAGTTAATGTGACTCTGTATTCACCACCTTTGCCAGAGTTTGATTACAGCATGGTTGTCATCTTCCTCATTGCTGTGTCTACAGTGGCACTGGGAGGCTACTGGAGCGGAGTAGCAGAACTGTAAGTTTGTGAAATGGAGCTGCTTAAATTACATGGACTGCAAAGTGTGTGAAAACTGTCACTGTGATCAGTGAGAAATTATTTTGCTTTATTTAGGTAGTTAGAAAATTAGAAGATCCGAGTGCAATTAGCTGCTTTGCCATGAAATTTTTGAGCGCTGCAACCTCTGAAAAATCATCACAGGTTTTTGAGGAGCCTTGAGTAAAAGTCCCTGAGGGATAACGCAGCTCTTGGGAGGAGGGAGTTAACATTTTGATGAATTACCACTCTGTAACTGCATCGTGGTTCTCCAGTATCCGCAATAGAAATTAGGTATTTTCATTACACCTTTCACAAGTCCAGTGATCCAAGAGCTACTTCTGTAGTTGTATGCAGTGTCTGCACTGGCAGGGGTCTGCACAATGCTCCATCCCAGCTGGCTGTGCAGTCCTCCTGTCACAGGGAACATGGGAAATGTGGTTTGCTTGAGTCTGGCAGGCTCCAGATAAAGTCCAGCCTGGCTTATCTGCTTCAGCTCTGTGTATTATCTGGAGGAGCAGCAGAGCTGGGGCAGCAGCAGGTCTAGGACTAGGCAAGGGCAAGGAGGCCGCAGCAGTCCTTGTGCAGGGAAGAGGAGGGCAGTGTAGAATGTGGCAAAGGCAGAGAAACAAGGTAGCAGGGGTTTGTGCACTGTGCTGGGTGTGCAGCTGTAAGTGCTGCACAGAGCTGGTTTTAGTCTGGGGTTGGCTGGCTCGAGCTGGCCTTTGAGGCCAGGGCATTGTGCTGCAGTGTTCTTGGGTGCCTGTGCTGAATGGGCCAGTGTGTGCTGCTGCCTTCCATGTCTCACTGGTGTTCTGGTGCTTTGGTCCCCGGAACAACAGGGAGAGGATTGTATGTGATAACAACAGCTTCCTCTTTCCCACTAGTTATGCAAAGCTAGTGATTTTAAAGAGATTAAAGAAGTAGAAAGAGGGGAGGTGTGTATGTTTCTTTTTTTAAAGGTTGGATCTGATTTATGCTTCTTTTTCACCCTGCAGTACTACAGGGTGTGGCTGCACTGACTGCTAAAATAACAAAATGTGATGCTGTCTGCCATATTGAAAAATACCTAGATGTAATTTATTAAACTTGTGAAAGTGCTCTTTCATAAATCTAGGGTGAGCTTTTTTTTTTTTAAAGCTGCTTATTCAAAGCATGTCTTCTGAGAAGGTGATTCATCTAACAAAGTGCCTTGCTCCTGTGGGTTTTTCTCTTTTGAAGGTAGCTGTTTGTGCTGAATTCAGCGTTTTGTAGTAGGTCCTGGGATTCATCAGGAGCATGTTATCTGATGGGCAAGTTGCACTGGTGTCTGTGCTAAAGAGTAGAAGGGCTATCTGCTCAAAGAACAAACACAGCAATTTAAGTCTCCTTATTTTGCATGGTGAGGTATAAATATGAAGTATGTATGTACAGAAATTTTACTCCTAGTGAAAGTTCCCAATTACACCCCCTCTCTCACTTACTCTGTAATTATAAGGTGTAAGGGTAAAAGAACTAGTACTTAGGCAGCTTCATTCTGCTAACATGAGTGGGTTTTACAGGCACTTAATGTCTAATTGAGGTTTTGAGGTGCAATACCCGTGATTTTGATTTATTGTAGATGTATTTATCAAATTGTCTACATTTAGCCCAAGAAATTTTGTAGTCAGAGGTGATGCCCTAGTAGAGCTGAGTGTGTGCATCCTGAAAAGGAGTTTAGGAGTATTGAACTACTTTTCTTCCCACAGATCAGGTGTTTGGTTGGGGTGTGCTTCTTAAAGTTGGAAATCATCACAAAACTAGAAAGGAGTGCAGTTAAGAATCTTTTCCTTGTGATCTATGCTAGGTTGGAAGTGCATGTCTTCATTAAAAATGGAGAGAAACTCAAACAGCAAGCATACCATTTTTCTGTGGCTTTAAGTCTAATAATAGTTTGAAGGATTAAACTGGAACATTATCAGTCTAAATGCTCTACAACCAACAATTGTGGTCATAGTAAAAGATTTTCATAATCTGCCATTTAAGGTAAATGTGTTTGTCATTTTCTTAAAACAGGGAGAATCTGAAAGCAATTGCAAGTCCAGGGGAGAGAGAAACCAGACGGAAGAAGGAGGAAAATGTTACCTTCACCCCTTTAACAGTTATCTTTTTTGTTGCCATCTGTTGTGTCATGCTGGTCTTACTTTATTTCTTCTACAAGTGGTTAGGTAAGAAACAGTTTCTAAACTGAAATGAATGTAATGTTTTTAATTGTTCTCTGTGAGTTGAGGATTAAAAAGATGCAATTGCTACTTAAAGGAGGGAAGCTTTCTTCAGCTGTCTTACAAAGACTGTCTTGACAGTGCTTATTTTGAATGAAGTGATGTGGAGGAAAGGTGATTATCAATAAGTAAAAAAAAACTATGTGATTTATGTCAACATTCTTGGGAGGATGGCAGTGACAACCTATTAGTGTTTAGAGCTTGCCTGATGAGAATGTTTTTCAGTAGCTGGTGTTTGGGTTTAGATTTTTGCAGTGAAGATGTGCCTAGAAAGCAATTCTGATATCTCAAAGTCAAGTTTTTGTTTGATGAGAACTTTGTCATGGCAGAGACCCTCAGAACTGAGCACTTTGTCATAGTGTGCAGTGATTGTATCAAGCACCAGACACCTCTTGAACACAAAATATCAAATGTACGTTGTTGTGCTTGATTCCTGTTTGTAATTTTTTGTCATTGATTCCCGTCTTCATTCTTTTTATTTAGTGTATGTTATAATATCAGTCTTCTGCTTGGCCTCTGCAATGAGTCTGTACAACTGTCTGGCAGCACTAGTAGGAGAAATCCCATTTGGGCAGTGCAGGTATTGTACACCTTCAGTTATTGTAAGTGTAAGGTTTCCTTTGGTATCTTCTGGTTGCTACTCAATGCAGCATGAAAATATGAGTTTGACATAGTATTTCCTGTATGGTTTAGTGTGTGGCATAGTTACAAAAGAAAATGTCAAGCTCCTTTAATGGATATTAAAGGTATCTGTAGTGTAATCAACAGTTAAAATAGTTGTGGGAGACTTTCTGCTTTACCTTCACTGGAAAGCATTGCTGTAGTAGAATTTGAAAGGCTCTGCTTGGCTGTCTGAGCTGTTTTACAAAATTCTGATTGCCTGTCATGTGCTCACTTTGTTCATCAAGAAGCTCTGTAGGGGGGGGATCCTGCACGTTTGATGCTGTTTTGAGCAAGTACTACAGTGTAGACAATAGAGGGGTTTTTCTCTTATGTTACTCTATACTGAAATGCCAGATATTAACTTTGTTGCAAAGGCAACACATTGCTCGTGTCATCCATGCTGGAAGGCAGCAGTTACAGTCCTGACTTGGGTGATGTGCTGTCAGTGCACAGACAGCCTCTTCTTACTCTGGGTTAAATATCCCTCAGGTATTAGTGAGTATGGGAATGTCCCTGTTTTCCTTCCTTGTATTTTCCCTTCAAAAATCCCGAATGTTTAATGCAACAAATGATTCTTTTTCCCCAAAAGAACAATGTTTATGAACTTGGAATCGTGTGATTCAGTTTGCATGTTCCTTAGTGCAGGATATTTGTGCCAGGTGATCCAGTAGCCCATCAAAGGTAGAGATCAGGTAAAAAGGCAGCAGGTTTTGTGTAAGCTGCAGGACAGGCATTACTTCTGTTGCTTAGTATCAGTTCAAGAACTGTCCCAGAAAGCTGAGTAGGTGGTGGAAACGGATATTGGCTCACAATTTTGCCATACATAGTTATCCCGTTTTTAATTCTGTATTATGTGTCCTAAAATTGAGTTTCCTCACCACCCCCCTTTTGTGCAATCATGATATGGCTGTCCCTCACTGACATAGTTCAGTTAACTGACAGAAATGGATTAAACAAACTCAACCTGCTTGCTGCCTTCCCTGGATGTGTTTGCTAAAATGAGGACAGACCATCAAAACCCCACTTGGCTGGTTTTAAGTGCAGTCCAGAAAAGGATTGGTACTGCAGCTGCAAGAATAATGTCACCTGAGTCTGGACAGAACAGCTGGGCAAAGGAGAAGCTTTTGGGATGAGAACACCTGGTCAGCTTAAGGATCTGTGATAGCACAGGCATGTGTCTTGGCTGTTGCAGGCTTTCTCTTTTAATTTAATTATTTTCTTTTAGGATCACATGTTGTAACAAAACCATTGAAGTGAGGCTCATTTTTCTTGCTGTGTTCTGCACAGCAGCAGCTGTTGTCTGGGCAGTGTTTCGAAATGAAGACAGGTAAGTGGTGCATTCTGACTTCAGAGTAATATGAAGAATTGGCATTAAAGAACTTCCCATCCTACCACTAATCCTGGAGTGTAGCATCCTTCTAAACTCCAGTGCCAATTTCAAAAAAGTCATGAAAATATTTATGAAGCTCAACAAGCCTGGGAGTAATAGAGAACAAAGCTATGCAAATGAACTGTGTGGTAATTTGAAGTTACAAAAAAACTAGGAAGATGAGGAAGAACTAGCTTGATTGCTAAGGGTTGCCACAGAAAGGAAAGGTGCAGAAGAGCACAGGGACCTGAGGTCCTGTGCTTCCTGTGGGCCTGTGGAAGTGCAGGACCACAAGTACACAAGCACTGTAGTACATCTCAAGTAGCTTCTTAAGCCAGATGCTCAGTAGGGCTCCCAGTCAAGTGAGCAGTCACACAAGGGAACACCAAGGCCCTCTTATAGCCCATGTTCAACTCATTTTGTCTTTGGAACATTGATAAAGACTGTCAGGGCTTAACCCCAGCTGAAAACCAAGCCCCACACAGCTGTTGGCTTACACCACCCCTGGTGGAATGAGGGAGAGAGTGAGAAGGGTAAAAGTGAGAAAACTCATGGGTTTAGATAAAGACAGTTTATTAGGCAATAGTTAAATCAGAAGCAGAGGAAAACAAGGAATTCATTCACCACTTCCCATGGGCAGACAGCTGTCTGCCATCCCCAGGAAAGCAGGGCTCCTTCATGCATTACAGTCACATGGGAAGGCAAATACCATAATTCTGAACATCACCCCCTTGCTCCTGCTTCCACCAGCCTAATATGCCCAGCATGACACCACATGGTCTGGGATATCCTTTGGGCCAGCTGGGCCCCAGCTGTCCTGGCTGTGTCCCCTCCCAACTGCCTGTGCACCCCCAACCTCCTCAGGGGTGGGGTGAGGAGCAGAAAAGGCCTTGGCTCTGTGTAAGCACTGCTTGACCACCTCCAGCATCCCTGAGCTATCAACACTGTTTCCAGCACAAATCCAAAACATGACCCATTCCACCTACTGTAACAACCTGTAAAAATGTATTTTTATTTTTAGGTGGGCTTGGATTTTGCAAGATATTTTGGGAGTTGCCTTCTGCCTAAACTTCATTAAAACACTGAAAATGCCCAACTTTAAGGTACTTGCTTACCTTAACATAGTGTTCTACTGCCATGGATCTGGAAGTTTATTGTCAGGAAGTAGATTTTCAACACTCAAAAAATCTATATTAAAAAATACAATCTTTACAATTTTTAATAACTATTAAAAGACACTAACCCTATTCTAAATGTTATGCCAGATTAAAAAGCATGGCACAGGGTGGGTTTGGATTGGGTTGGTTTGGTTTTCACGTAGTGGCACAGCTGTGTAATCCCTGAAAACCCACAGTAATATTTTCTTCTCTTTTTTTTTTTTTTTTTTTGCCAGTCCTGTGTAATACTTCTAGGCCTTCTCCTTCTATATGATGTGTTTTTTGTCTTCATAACACCATTTATCACGAAGGTATGTCTGTGAATTTATCTTAACAAAAATGTCTGGTTACTGGGGAAGTGCTCTTGTCCAACAGCTCAGTGTTTTCAGAATTCTCAAGAAGGAAAAGCTGACTTTCTTTCCTTTTTTACCCATTTAAGACAGCAATGGCCTAAATTTTTATGGTAATCACGTGGCCAAAAGTAAACTGTCCCCAGCTGAGGGACAGTGTGATGATGAGAAATTACTGCCCTCCATTTTTTTTCCTTGTTTTGCTTTAAACACCTGTATATTGGAACATGCTCTAGTATTTTCTGCTATGCTCACTTGCAGTGTAGTATGAACTCTGTGCAAGCATCACCTGGTCTTGTTTTGAAGCAGAAAAGCTCATGGCAGAAAAAGCTGAGATGTTTTTATCTAAACTTCCAGCTACATCTAGTGGACTTGTTGTCTGGGGTTTTCTTTAACAGTAGTTTTAGGCTGGACTACATGATTTTTTTTTTTTTGGTACAATACTGTACAATACTTGAGCATTTGCTTTGATGTTCAGGATTTTTCCAATCCTGAATTGTAGGTGGAGGCACAAGCAGTCTTTGTAAATGTAGTATGAAAATTCTGATGCATTAAACCACTAACTTTTGGAAAAAACCTGTGATTTCAGAATGGGGCAAGTATAATGGTTGAAGTTGCAGCTGGTCCCTTTGGAAACAGTGAAAAGGTATGAAAAGCCATTTTAACACGTGCGGCATAAAAATACTGACTCTGCGTAGCTAATTCATAGTGCGCTTTTTGGCATAACTTTCTCACAAAATACAGCAGCTTCTGCTATTTTCTTATAAGTATTAAATTCCTGTTGACTTGGGTTTGATCCTAGAGTGATGGAAACTTGGTGGAAGTCCCTACTGAACGCTCAGCTCCCCATGAGAAAGTAAGGATTGTATTTCAGATACTGGATTTTTAAATTATTCCCTCTGAAAAGACTATTCTTTTGGGGAAAACCTGACTGTCCAAATTTCTCTTCAGGGCCTGGATATCATTGATCAGTATTCTATAGTTAGGTTAATAATCCAGATTTGTTACTCCCATTACATGGTTAAATATTGTTTTAACTTTTTTTTTTTTTGGTGTGTATATATTATTTGTAAATCTGAAATTCCAGCTTACCTGTTACCTTAAGCTTTATCTACTTTCTATGTTGGTTTCTGGTTTTTACTTTAGGTTCGACCTATTTTAAAGTTCTGCATTAACAATAAATTAATTATATTTAAACTGTTTATTAAATTAAGCAACCAAAAAAATCCCAAACACCAGGATGCTTTAGATGAGATTTATATGGCTTCTGAAATAATGTTTTCCAGTTACCTGTGGTTATTAGAGTGCCTAGACTTGAACACTCTGCATCGACACTGTGTGACTTGCCATTTTCCTTGTTGGGTTTCGGAGACATTATTGTCCCAGGTGAGCAAGGGTTTTGGTAATTGTAACTTAAAATTAAATATTTGGGGTTTGATTCTCAACTTACTTAGAGTAGAGCTTATTCACAGAGTAATTACTGAATCAAATGCAGCAGTTTGCCTTGATCTGTAAGTGCAGAATACAAAAGGCCACGATAGGAGAAAGCTTGGTGTGTTACAGAACACGTCAGTTGTGACAGGTTTTCTCTACTGCACTGGATTGTGTACATACAAGTTCCATAGATCAGTTTGGTTGTCACTATTAACTAAATTTCATCAAAATCTCACAGGGAATAGCTATTCTGTGACTACATAATTAGAGGTGAGGTAACAGAAAATGTATTGCCAAATTTTTCCATCTTTGTCAGAAGAGCTGAATTTTGCCGTAGTTGGAATGTTGAGCAAATTACTTAAGTCAAGCACGTGCAGGCAAAATTGCTAAATGTGAAGAGTAAGCATTAGAACCTCTTGAAGAAAAGTGTTAAAAATAGGTTGTGACTCCTCTGTGTTAGAAAACTGAAAGTAGCACAATGTAATTAGCTCTCTTAAAAACCCAAAGCTTTAATTGAGCTCGCTTGACTCTTATTTCCATTATGGTTTTGAATTCTTAGGCTTACCATAGGATTTCTTAAACGGGTTCATGGCTTTCCAGAAATAAATGCAAAGAAGATAACATACAGTAATGGGAAGTCTTACTATAAGTTTTTTTATGCTGCTTTCATTTGGAAGATTGGGGAGAAGAAAATTCATGGCCAAACATTTCGTTAATCCTTTTTTAATTTTTTTTTTTTTTCCTTCAAGGGCTTCTGGTTGCCTATTGTCGAAGATTTGATGTTCAAACAAGTTCATCTTCTGTATACTACATTTCCTGCACAATAGGTAATCTTGATATTTCAGTATTGCTGGTCTTCATAGTAGCTTTTTTTAAAGTTCAGAACTAGATAGTTTTCTTCAGTGTTGTCAAGAATCTCTTTATAAACTCTTTTTAGTGTGCCTGCCCATATTTAAGGTGACTGTTCTTTAAGGTAGCCAGTTGCTTTGAGAAATCTTGCAAATACAGAGCAACCAATTGTCTGTCTTCAGTTATATTAACAAGGAAGACACTGCTTAAAAAAAGTAATAATTCTGGTGTATCTGACTTAATCTAAAAAGTTGTCCTGTTCTTGATTGTGTCTGTATAAATATCTTTTTATAGCTTATGCTGTTGGTATGGTGCTGACTTTCATTGTTCTGGCATTAATGAAGATGGGACAACCTGCCCTTCTCTATCTTGTACCGTGTACACTCATCACCAGCTCTCTTGTTGCCTGGAGGCGCAAAGAGATGAAGAAGTTTTGGAAAGGAAGCAGTTACCAGGTAGGCCTTGGGTTAATTCCTTTGAGTATGTATTTCTCTGAGCACTTGGTAATACATCACCTGCAGTCCTGTTTTTGCTGGTCTTCCTGTGACCTTTTGGAACTAATAAGGAAAAGTAGTTTTTACTCTTAGAAAATCTTAGTCTAAGAGCTGACATGGAGAGCAAAGCTTAAGGGAGATGAAATAGCTGGGTCAGGACTTAGGCAGGAAAAGCAGTTTGTTCTATTTTCTTCGAAATCTGTTCTTGTATTTTGACATTCCTTGTTGATCATCTTAATGTGCTGTGACATGAACCACTGAACTAAGCATGCAGACTCCAATCTGCACCAGTCCTGTGTTAGAGAAAGCTCCAAAAAGGTTGGTGATCAACTAGAATTTTAGTAACCTTCCACACATCACTGCTGTCCTGCATTGTCAGGATTGTACGCAGCACTCAGCAACAAAACAGCTGGGTGGTTATATAAGTGTTTGCTGTCACAGCACACACCGTGGGCACACTGCCTTGGGCATTCTGCATTTCCCCCTGGGTTATGTCTGACACTGCCCAGGAATTGGATACCCTTCAAATCCCACCTGCTGTCTGGTGCCACGTGCTCATTTCCCTGCTGGCACTCGCTGTAGTAGCCAAGGTGCCAGTAGCCCTTGTGAGCTGGCACTGATCTTAAGACACACCCATCTCAGATTACTCTAGGTTTTGCTTGAGACCTGAAGTCCAATACTGTTGTTACCTGTGTCCAGGCCGTGTTGAACTCTGAGATTGGGTAGTCTCTTGTGGGGGGAGGTGGGTGTCAGGCTGATGGAAAGGAGCAGCTCCTGCTCTTTCAACTTGTGGGTTGCAAGATTGAAGTGGGTTAGTGAAAGTCAAGGGTAATTCTTGTAAATGTAAAACTGCAGGCAGGCAGCTCCTATGGTGTTCCAGCTAAACACTGCAACTGAACCTTTTGTTCATCCAACTAATATTGTACACCTGGTTCAGCTGGAGGTTGGCTAGGTGTGAAATTACTCAGGAGATTTTCAGCTTTAACTAAATACCCTGTCTTTTTGTCTACAAAAGCAACTTTTCTCCTTTCAGAGGTCCAGTGAATAGAAATGTTCCTCTGTAGGTCAGAATGAATTTAGCTTACCAGGCATTTATATATAAATCAGTGACTGTTTGCTATTCTAAAATGAACAGCATCACATATATGAAGCCCAGTAGCTCTGGGTTTGTTGGGGGCAAAACACTTTGCAATTTATTTTCTTCACTTGAGTTCTGAGTAAGATTGGCCTAAGTAAATTTGGCAGCTCTCCTTAGCGACAAAAATTTCTTGTACTTCTTGTAGCAAAACTCATACTTGAAAGAATTATGTTGCCATAGTAGTTATTTCGTGTCCTTTCAACTGGTTTCTTGAAGGATTAAAACTACTCTGAACTTCAGCTTGTTTTGAGGTCAGATGACTTCATTTCTATCATGACTTAAAATGTTGATTTCAACCCCCACTCCACCATCATCTGAGTCTGTGATTGAATACCTCTGTGTAACTTTACTAACTCCTATTTTTGTATAATTTTCTGAAGAATATTTTGATATTAATTTTTCTTCCCAGAGAGTGTTATTCAAGTTGCACTGTGGTAATGCTGCAGTATTGATCTTTTCATCTGATGTTCTCCTCACCTAAAGCTGTATTTTGAACTGTCTTTACTGCACTTACAAACAAACATGCCAAAAATCCAAAGAGACAAACAAAACCCCAAACCACCCCAACCCACACAGGCCCGGGGTTGAAATGTCCGGTTCTCAGTGCGCAGTCTGAGGAGGAAAGATAGAGAAAGGTGTCAGAAGCCTTTTTTGCTATAACTGTGGTGATTTTGACTTGGGCAGAGACGCCCCTTTGACAAGGGTAGCCAGACTTGTGTAAAGGTTTGCTTTGTCCTCATGGGAACACAGAAACCTTGCACAGTTGTTAGAACAAAGTGTCCCAAGAATAGAAGAGCATGTGCAGTGCATCAGGTGACTAAACTTCATAATAGTTCATTTGTTAGCTTTTTTGAGTTTTGGGTTTTTCTGATTTTTGTTGGGTTTGTTTTATATAGTTTTAATAATTGAATGAATTTTATTTAGGTATCGGACTCATCCAGGACGCCTTTGCTACAAGGTGTGATTATGGTCTTCTTTTAATGCAACTTTCTTAGTCATCTTGTGGTTTCTTTTTCCTTTTTTTTCCCTCCGCTTCCTCCTTTCAGTCTTTCCTGCATCTACTTTTTAATTTCTCTGCATAGCTCAATATAAGGGGGTATAGAAGACAAGATATAAATCTGTATTCACCCTTGGGTGTTTTGGGTTTGGTTTTTTTTTTAAGGGAATACAGGAGAACATAATTAAGTACCAACAAAGCCATGATTCCTAAGCCTGAAGGCAGGCTTAATATGCTTCTCTACTCTTTAACTTCCCAAATCCTTAGGAATGTCTTCAGATTTTTCCAGTTGGTGGTAGTTTCTCTTCTGTTGCCTGTGTTGAAGCCCTTCACCTGATTCTTCTGTGTCAGTGCATTGACACGAAAAGCTGCTTAGTGCTAAACAAAAATTGTCTTCTGTTATAATGCTGAGCATGTTAAATTTGCCTTCAGTGATTGTGTCTACTGTCCCTCTGTCACCTTAACTGCTGCCCAGTGTCCTTTCCCCTGTGCTGCTTGCACTGCTTGCAGTGGGAGCCAGGACTCAGAGCGGCTTTTGTGCTCTCGCCGCTGCGCAGCGTCTGGGCTGCAGCGAGGTTTGACCTTTCCTGGCTGTAGCTCATGACTGCTAACACTGATGGTGTTTATTCTCACTGTCCACACAGCTGGGAGAGAGCAGTGCAAGCTTTCAAATTTCAGCTTCACGCGGAATTTAAATATAATCTTGAATTATAGTTGCTGGTCTGGAGTTATACATCTATTTATAAAGCGTAGGGTGTCTGCTCTGTATACTGAAGACAATTTGAGGTGGTGAACTCTGCCTGACTGTGTCTTAAATTCTCAATTAAAAAGTACTTCTCACTGGCTTTTTTCTTCTAATAAAGAATACTTTAACAATTTAAGTTTCATTAAAAAGCCTTAATGATAAAGAAATTAGATATAAATGGAAGATGATATTAGGAAGTGGGAGGGGTTGAGTGTAAATTAAAAGCAGATGATGAGACTGTATTTTTATAACTTAAAACTCTTCTGTCCTGCTCTGTGCACTCAAGTTCTTGGATAGGTTTGTTAAAACCAGTTTTTCAGTTTCTGCTTTATACATATGACAAATACTTGCCTCCTCAAGATAGCTCTGAGGTCCCATAATTCGTAGCTGAGATCATTTCTGTTTCTGCGTAGTGATGCAGTCTGAAATTCTAGTTATGCTCTGTGTGGCTTTTTTATGGAGCAGTCTTGAGCTGTAATGAATTGCTGCACAGGAAAACATTTTAACTACTCACTGAAGCACAGGGATTTCTTGGGAGAGTAATGTACTGACTTTCCTGCCACCTGAGTAGGCAGTATTGCTGCTGTTGAAGTGTGTAATAAAAGTTTTTGTAGGTTTTCTGGATTGCTTATATTCCTCATGTATGCCTGCATGATAAACTAATTTCATACTTATTTTCCAGTTATTGATTTAATTTTAAAATACTATTTTTTTGCATCAGTACAAGCTATGAAACAATTTTAGTAGTAAATGAAAAATCTAGTGGACTAATGCAACTTTGAAATCTTCTACATAGGACAGTCTTGCAACTTTTAAAGAGTTTGTCAGTTTTAAGTACTCAGCACTTCTTATCTCTGTTTGAAGTAATAAATCAACAGATTTGGCATTGGCATGTTACACAGCAAACACCTGCAGTTTAGTGCCATCGTTTTTAGAATCACACTTTTAGAAACTCACAAATTCATCATAACTGTGAGTTGCTAAGAATTCTGTGAATGCAACATCATCCAAGTCAATCTTGCAGGCGTGTCTTAGTTACTGTGTGCTTTTACAGGGAGGAGCTGGTATTGCCATTTCTAGTTAGGCTCTGTTTGATTGGGTTTTTTTGGGGTGAGTTTGGTGGTTTTAGTTTTTAATAGGTCACCATGCTGGGGGATAGGTTAAACATAAATGCATTTCAGTTACAAAGCTGCCTTAACACCTCCCCCTTAAAAACTGTCAGGAATTCAGATGTGGGAGCAAAGCTTCTAAATCTCTTCCACTTGGAAAATGTTCCTCAGCTCTCCACAATGTCAGATTGCTTTGGCTCTTTCGAGGCTTAAAACAACAACTTTGTCCAGGACTTTATCAAGGTGCCTTCATCTGCTGATTGTCACAAAGATTCCTGCAGCTTCTGCTGAGGCTTTGAGGATGGAGTTGTCCTGAGAGAATCTACAACAGAGATACACATGTGGGAAAAGCTGCTTTATGCGATCTCAGACTTTTGGAGAGGCACCCGTTGTCCCCAGCGTCACATTGTGGGCTCTCCTTCAATGTGGAGGAGAGATTAGAAATGGGGTGGGGTGGCTTTTTTAGCCTTGTAACATTGATGTAAAAAGAAAACCAAAAAAAAAATCCCACCAAAACATCCTTGATGCTTTACTAGGCATTTTAAAGGGTTTTTTCAGGGTTTTAAAAGTTAACTTAAAAATCTAATTATTAAGATGAGAATTTAAAATTTAAGTTTTGTACAAAAAAAGTACATTTTTTACTACTTCCTGTGTTGTAGGATTAAGAAAAGAATCTTTGACTATGGCATACACTGAATTGTTGCAAATAGTGGCAACTCTTAATTCTAGAAGCATCTTGTCTATGCTTACTAAAATTACCTTCTCTCTGCCAGCTGTTAGGTGATCTTCCCTGGGATGAAGGAGGATATATGGCATGACTTGATGTATTATGGTACTGTGGGGGAGGTTGTTCTTGTTTTATCCTGGAAACAAATACTTCAATCCTCATCCAAAGGGATGGTTTGAGTTCTGTAATTGTAGGGAGTGTTTTGCTTTGGGTGACTTTTTATGTGGATTTTTGATTACAGTGCAGGGGGAAAAGTCTGGATGTACTGAAATGAATGCAGGATTGTCATTGTCTCAGGAGCTGGATGTTCACTGCTGGACTGAGCTGTGTGCTGGTTGCTGTAACTCAGTTCTTATGTCTGTTGGCAAGATTGGTGCCTGCCTTAATTCTTATTGTCTTAATTCTGACACATGAAGAGAGGGTTGTGAAGGACCATTTCTGGTCTGAGTCAAATTGATATTGTGCCACTAAGCTCTCCTGAGCATTCCCCAAATCCCACTGACTTGTTTTTCGGAACTGTCAGCTTACTGCACAGCATGTTGGTGTGGCTGGGCTGTGAAACAGCTTGTTTAAGCAAACCTGCTTTTGATAAGGTATATTTGTGTGCCTTTTTTCTGTTGGCATAAAAGAAGGAATGGCACAGAGATGGGTCACAGCTGGAGCAGGAGAGGAGAGTTAATGGAACCAGTCTCTTTGCCCTGTACATAGAATTCTACCACACTAAAATGTGCACAGCAGTGTCAGAGCCTGCCTTTGTGTTACCAAGGATTCTCCAGTGGGTGCTCGTAAACAAGGAAACTATTGTGTGGAAATCTGCCCAGCCTAGATCAGAACCCACACAGTGAGCAGCTGTTTCACAGAAAGATGGGAAGGATTTTCACTCCTGGGCTGGTTATGCCACTGTGGCAGAACGTCCGTGTGGTTTTCTACCTTTGATGCTGAAACATTATCCCTCATCCTAATAATCCTGCCACGCTGGGCCTGGGAGCTCCTTGGCACTTTGTTTTTCAGCATTAGTTGTGCTACTTCTGTATCTTCTGTCTGTGGTTGTCAGCTACCAAAACTGTGCAGTTCTTGGCCTCTTGTTAATTATGGTTAATTCTGAAGCCCTCAAACTGATGGTCTTGGTCTGTCTCACTAACAAATGTGTACGTTACCTGTGTAATACATTCGATGGCTTGTGCCAAGGGGAAGAGCAGAGCCTTCATTGCCCTCCAGCAGTACAGCAGTGGGTAGGGAAATGGGGCTTTTTAGTCGGGACAAGTACAAATTTGTCTTGTGTTATTCAAGTGATCTAATCAGTTACGTTAATTGAAAGTATAATCAGTCTATAATAATCTGGTTTAGATTCTCACCTGTTGCAGGACTTTAAAGTTCTATTTCCCTTATCTTCTTTAAGATAAAAGGATAGTTTACAAAGAAATGTTACCAATAGTTAGTTTTTACTACTAATAATAGGTAGCCTTTACAGCCATGAAAAGAGAAAGCCACTCTTTTCTGCTCAAGCTATTGCTTGCTACCTGTAAATGTCAGGTTAGATCCTGGAGTCTACTTCCAGTTCTGAAAACTGTGTCTTTGAAAAAAAATTGCTTAAGCCCTATTGTTTTTTGTTCTTTGTATTTAATAATCAAGATACTTCTGACTCATAAGTTTAATTTCTTGTAGAGGACTTGAGTCCTCGGTTGCAGAATGCTTTTGTAGTGGAAAGCATTAGATAATGGAGCTTTGAATACTTTAGCTTGAATACTTCTCTGATCTGTAGAGGACTTCCTATCTGTTTGCTGCTAAAATGTACTCTAACAAATGTTTAATTGTATTTCTCTTAGCTAACAAATACTTTGGATCAATGGGGTGAAAGCAGTATTTCTTTATAAAGAGCCATTTCTTTTCCTTTCTCTTTTCTTTTTACATTTAGATGATGGAACACCTGGATTACACAGGAAATGAAGAAAGCACAGCATCAGCCACTGAACACCCTGGAGGACAATAACATGTGGGATCCTGATTCAAAATGACATTTGAATTTTCAACAAATGAATTACACTAAATTTGATGAAATTTTACAAGAGTGTTTCCTACTCTGTGTAAAAGGGTTTTTTTATCCCTGCACCTATATTTTTATGGAAAATATTGTTAAGGACATAAAAGTAATCAAAATAGACTTGCATTTTTACAGCCAAACCATAGCTAGTAAAACCGTGCCTTATTTCGATTTAAATAAAAGGATCTTTTCTATGCAATTTTCCAACTGTGTTTCTATACAGTATATTTTTGTACAAGTTGCTTGCCCATATCGGTTTGATGCATGAATTGTTTTTTTAAATCTTGGATTGACTAGTCAAGTTTCTTTAAAAGAAAACACAGTGTCTTTCCTAGGGTTTCTTTCCAGATTTTGAATGCACCGTTGGATTGTAATGCAACTATAGCAACTGAAGAATGAAATTATAGTTCCATTACTACAAATAATCCAATAGGCAGTGTGTGTGTGTCTATGTAAGCCATAAAATCAATACCAGGGCAAATTTAGCATGGGGTTGTGAGCTCTTCCTCCCTCCCCCCTGCCCCTTTGTATCACTGGCTTATGCCTTAACTGTGAAAATTGCTAAGCTTGGGTGCAAGTCTTTGGATTGTATACATCACCAATCATATAAAAAATAAAATAAGGGGAGGGAAATGGTCCTGAAAACTTCTGTGCAGCTGGAATAGTTGACAAACACGATGGTGCAAAAGGCAAGAGGGTTTTTTGCTCAATAAATGCTATTTTGGGGCGTGGTGTGAAATGTTAACTCTGGCCTGGTTCTTCTCCTGGTGAAGAGTAGGTCTGTACTAGGTCTGTATTCGTGGTCTTCGTTTGGCTGTGGATCAGTTCAAAGGGATGGAGGAAAACAGGACAGAAATTTTTTTTTTTTTTTACCTTTTGCATCTGCACCATACTTTTTTTAAAACTGTTTTTTAAAATTCTTTGCAATTGATAGACAAAACAGGTTTGAATAGTGATAGTAGTGCCTGTGTTAGTGAAAGCCAATGCATGTGTTTAACTCGTTTAATCTTGTTTTAGCTCTTAAAGACTTGGAAAAGGATAAATAGTTTAAATCATTATTTGCATTTAGAAGAGTCTGAGTCTATTTGACACTTGTTCTTTTTTTCAGGAAACTGCAAATTGAGGGGGATTAGGCATAAAAAATTTGTATAACTGTAATGCTAACAACCTCACACCAAAGAAAACTGGAGAAGGCAACAACCTTGGGAGACCATTGAGTTCACTTAGTGCTAAAGTCAGGTAGTTATTAAAGCATTTTTCCTATTCTTTGAATGAATGGTCATTCCTATAGCCAGCACAGGTTCAAGAACCCTGGGAAAACAACCGAGTAAGCACATGCTGGGCAGAGGCACTGAAGACTTTCCTGCAGTGCCTCATGCAAGTGCCTCCCTGTTTGTCTGAAGGTCACCTCTGGACATTTATAGTTAATTTGGGGCACTTCAGCTCAGGAAAACTTACCCAGATTAAATCTGGTTTAGCTAGATTTACTGTGAAAGTATGCTAATTAAGGCACTTGTAAATCTATATTGGCAGTTAACAAAGGCTTACTGCAAATTCGCAGCTTTATGTAATTTATATCAAGTTTAAACTTTTGTTTGCGAGAGTGAGGAGCAGACAGACTGACAACCTGGATGTCAGTCGTGTCCATTCACACGGATTGACCGTGGTGCCAGTTGATACGGGTAAGATAAACACCTTGTTTGCAGCTTCCCTAAGGAAACAGGAATTACAAGCCGTTTTTGTATGTTAGCAGTTCCCCTCCTTGATTTGAGCTTGAACTGACAGCCTCAGAATGCAATGGTCATCTTCAGTTTTTGTTTGACTGGCGTGTCATAAATTACAGCATACCTCAGTGTTCCAATAGCAGACTGAAAATGTGTCTTCTGATGTGTTGTCGTGCTCTTTGACATGCCCAGTATCTGCCAAAGTTCAGTGGTTTTGAAGAAGTTTCTGAAAATTCCTGAAGCAGATAAAGAAGTCATAACTCATTCAAAGTCATGCAGCCTTCAGAAGCTTCACAAACCTATGTTATATGACTTCTTTATCTCTTTGAAATCTTCTGCGTGGAGGATTTATTAAATTTTCAACTATAATTGATAATGAAATTAGTATAAATAAAGACTTTTGGCAATGTAAATGTGTTCAGCAGCTGGCTGTGGAAGCTGTGTCTTGTTCTGTGCCTAATAATGCTCCATGCCTGATCATGCCTGAGGTTTCACACACGTGCTGCAGTTTAATGGGGTGTAAACTAACCTTTTCCTTTCAAATGCTTAGGTGCTTTGTTTACAAAAATTAAAATGGAGTTTAAAATTTTATATAAATAGTAGGTTAGTATTGACTACTGAAATGAGGTTTTTTAAGTTCGATAGAACTGATTGCAACACTTCTAGCAATTTTGAATGTTTTTAATATTAAATTTGGTTGAGCTAAACACTGTTAAAAGCCTTGTTAGTCATCCTTTAGTAGAAAAATCTTACTACCTTCTCATTGTATGTTTACTGACAACAACCTCCTTCCTTATGGCTCTTTAAGTTATCACCTTAAGAATGTTATTAATAAATGTTACTTGGAAAAAAGATAGTTGAGTAATTGCTTTGTTCTAACTCATCTCTTTTCTTACTGTGAATGTTCATGGCAAAACAGTTAACACTTCCTAATACCAAGTAAATTAAAAGCCCATGATACAGACCCCTAAATGTGTAGTTGCAGTTTTTATCCGTGTATCCAAGTTAGGATTCTGTTTGTAAGTACCTGTGTGGTAGGTTTGGTGGATTGCTTTTCTCTGGGTTTTTAGTTTTTTTTCTGGGGTGAAGAGCAGGGAACTGAAGTCTGTGAACTGACCTGCATCAGTTTGCCTGGAGTGATCAGCGAGTGCTTGTTGCACGGCTGTTAGTCATGAGCTCTGGGAAAGCACACCTGGCAGAAGTGAGTTAGAAATTGAACACGTGCAGACTTCTTGATGGTAACAAGGTGCTTGCACTCAGCCAGGGAATAGCGCTGCTGAAGCATTTTCAGCTGAAGGTGCTCAGCCTTTGACATGAGGGCAAGAAACAGCCACACCTAGGACATGAAACCCTTGCTGGTTTGGAAATGTTGGCAGGGAAGAAGGTCACTGAACCTGAATACACTTGATATGTGATCCTTGGGACATCCCTACAGCCCTGGGATAGTGTGTTTGTGTGCAACATGTTCTTAAATATTTACAGCCTCTTCTGCTCATACGCTGGAGGTTCCAGTAGCATTGAGTCACAGTAAGTGAGTACTTTAAAAATTCTTGTTTTCTGGTTTAATTTTTCAAGGGAATGGTCTGAAATGTTCTTTGAATTTACTTGTTTTAAAAAAGAAAGAGGTTAAGAAGAACAGGCACCCCTGCAAGCAGCACACTTGTTTTTCACTGTCTGTTCCCCGTGCATTCCATTGTTAGGGCTGCTCCATTTGACACACTGGCAAAACTGTAGATCTCAAAATTGCAAGAAGAGAGGCAGTTTTCTGAGGAAGAGGATGCTTGCCTGTTTAGATCAGTCCAACCTTTACAATACAATTCCATTTAGACACAAGAGTAAGCTTTTCCATGTGAGTGTGCTCAAACACTGGGCCTAAGTTGCACAGAGAGATGGTGGAGTTGGAGTTTCCACCCTTGGAGATAACTCAATGTACAAGTGGACACAGGCCTGGCAGCCTGTTCTGAGCAGAGGGGTTCGAGTAGACAACCTACAGAGGAGCATTCCACCTCTACTGCGCTGATTATTAAGGTGGTTTTGTTTGGTTTTGGGTTTTGTTGTTGTTTTTGTTTGGGGTTTTTGTGGGGTTTTGTTTGTTTTTGTTGTGGGTTTTTGTTTGTTTAGGGTTTTGTTTGAGGGTTTTTTGTTGTTTTTTATTGTTTTCCAGCTTCAATAACCTGCACTTTTTTTTTTATTCATGGAAAAACTGGAATTATATCACCTCAACACGGTTTGATTTTTTTCACTTGGAATAATTTACTTATACTAACCTGTTAGATTTAAACACATTTAAAAGTTGTCTTTGGATTTGCAGTGCTTTCCAAAGCTGAAGCAGTGTTTTATTTTCAAGTAGCCTATACAGCACATTTTCTGAGTGAATGGTTTATCTTTACAATTTTTAAGGAAAGAAGGAGGAGGACAACTCAGACTGTTATCCCTTTTGTCAGAAGTGAGTGATCAAAGTTCAAGGTTTTGTGTTCTTGAGAGAGGTTGATGGTGGAGGCTCAGGTATCTCTGGAATTCCTGTTATTGATAAAGAATGTGCAAGATCCTGTTTCCTTGAATACAGAGGGCATCAAATAGCTGAGAATAGGTTTTTTTGCTTGCAGCTCCAAGACCTTTTAACCAAGAAAGTGTTTAGATCAAAGAGCTTTTAGCTTTTTGTTAGGAGGGTGCTCACAGGTATTCTCTCTGGTTTCTGTTCTCTCTCCTTGCTCTTTGCTCCTCTTTTCTGTTTGGGGCAGTACCAGCATGTTTTGAAGTGTCTTTGCACATTTATTTGTCTTGGACAATAATTTGTACCTCTGTTCCAGTATGGAGGTCATTACTGAGGAGGTTCAGTCTTTTGGACTCTGTGAAAACGAAACAGCCACTGTACCCACCAGCTCAATCCACCAGTGACAGGGATGTAAAACAAGCTGATCTTCTCCTTGTCTGTGTTATGGCCCCACCGACTTTCTGGGGTTGCATTAATGTTGTTTTAACAACCAGATTTAGGTTTGGAAACAAAAAAAAAAAATTAAAGGAAAGGTTTTTGCAGTTTCATCAAAGGTTGAAATGTGCTTGTGCTGGTTCTCCCCATGTTTTGCAGAACTGCTACCACAATGTATCAACCTGTGTATTTATTGTACACGCTTGGGAATACGAGGAAATTCGACAGGTATTGGTACATTTAGAAGTTCAACAATAGCTCAGTTAATTTAATTTCCACCTTTGTTGTGCTGTGCCCCTGTCAAAGCTACAAGGAAAGTGGGCTTCTTTTAAGTAAATATTTCTTTCAAAATGTAATGGAAGCTTATGCTGGGAAATTGACCCATCCTTGTGGATTTAAGGCAACTCCCTGCAGAAAATTAGCAAACAGGTAAGTGAGTATCTCTGTGGTAGCTGATTTCAAAAATAAATTTTATAAGTAAATTTACATTATTGTAATAATGGAACCAAGAGCAAATGCATGCCCACTGGTACCTGGGACAAAGTGGTACTTTTTTTCATGGTCACTGCCAAATAAGAGTTTAAATTTGGACAATTAGGACCAGTCCCATATAAATTAAATTTAAAATTTTACATTTTGATTAAGAGTTACCTATCCCTAAATTAAAATATATATATATATATATAAAAAGAAGCAGAGTTCTGTGAACTTTAGAACTCCCCAGTTTCTAAAATTCAGGCACCTCTACCTCTTGCTGCTTTGCTTGCTGGTTCAGGCAGTGCACTCCTGGAAGGAGATGCTGCAGCTCTGCTTCTTGCACATGGAGCATCTCTGTGCAAAGGCCACCTCACTGTCTGACCACCGTGCACCTGCTCAGCTGCTAACGAATTAAAACACAAGAATTTGTGAGCCCAAAGATTGCAGCAGGAACAATTTTCCCAGGGAAGCTTGAGAAATTCTAAAAAAAAAAATATGGGGGGGAGAAAGTTCAGAAGGAACAAAACTGAGATAAAGTTGTTTTAGTTGCATTTTTAAAGGCGAGCACTGATAAAATCTTGCAAATGACCACCATTATGTTGTAAATGTACCCACACAGTTCCTGGCAGCTACTGGTTTTACACATCTAAATAGAGATGAGTGTGGCACACCCTGGGCAGTTTTGTGCAAGACTTCAGCCTTTGTGGGTTAAGCTCTCAAATGCAGTCTTCTGAGCAGGAAGTAATGTATCATATTCCCAAATACAGGATACACTTACATTTTACTTTAGATGATGGGTTGGGTAATGCGTCTCTCTGTGGAGCATGTGAAAGGACAGATCTCGCATTCAGAACTGCATGTGCTCAGTTAGCTCATTAACTTGATGTCCCTTTCTATTAATAGGGAATATCTTTAATGCAGATTTTAAAACTGGAAAACCCGCCCCCTCAGTTGCCTAATTGGGATGTGACAAGCCATCCTGCCGAGTTGAACTCGAGTTACTCGTTCTGCGCTCTGAGCTTGGTGGTGTTTGGTCATCGGACCCTTTGTGCTGCCATCAGAAAGCCACCCTACAGCCCTTTGCTATTGTTGGTGGTGATTTGCCATTCCCAGCAAAGCACTGAAGGGCTGGGAAGCCTCACATACCATTCCCTGCATCTGCGTTGCAAAGTGAATGGCTGACTTTGCCCTTCGTTAACATCTAAATGCAGTGTTGTTAGAGAGGAGCTGAACTGCACCGGTGGCCTTCACGTGATACCAGATCAGCTCTTTTATCTCCAAAGGCACCTCCATCTTCTCTTTTTATGGCTTTGGTGGCACAGTAAGCTGTCAATGTTACTTTAGTTTAAATACATACATTGCTTGTGAGATTGGAGTCTAAAACAGCTACAGGGAATAATCTGTTTTGTGACTGTTAAATATGCAGAACTAATTTTTTTATATTTTTGTCCTGCTGTATCTTGAATTTACCCTGGATATTATGATCTATTTTTTAAATGTACAGCTAAGTCACTTGTTTCTTTTGAGGGAATGCATCTTCTTAGCTGTTAAAGCTAACACATTGCTCAGACTAAATACTTTTTGCCTTCAAAACCTTGGTATAATGCAAAAAGATTGCTAAACCTCTGGGACCTCTTCAATGGGACTCTGGAGTGTACCACATGCTAACAAAGTAAATTACTAAAATTACTAAATAGTTGAAAAACTGTGAAGTTACACATTTTTTAAGTTTTATTTTCCCTAGCATCAATGGCAAGAAGCCTCCTCTTTTTAGGTTATATTTCCTGAGTGTTGGGTGATTAATAGCAATAGGCTGTTTTTACTTAAGCCCATTTTGAAACAATGTATTTTGAATTGCTACAAAGTTTCATGTTTATAACATTATTTAGTACTGCACAAACTGTTTTCATAAAAAATCAGCAGCACCAGCACTAGAAAAACCTTTCACAAATAATGGAGGGGACTCAGAGTTCCCATTAACCTGTCTCATAGTATAAGTTTTTTCCCTACTTGACAAATTTTGAATTTCATGTGGAAAAAATATATGTATCTTCACTTTGCAGGAGTAGCAGTCAGAATGTAAACTGCTGAGTTTCCACTGTAGCTGAACAGCTGATTTACCTGGATAAATCAGAAATGGACAAACCTGTGTCCAAAGGAAAAAAAAAAAACATTTGGGACAATTCACCCCTGTTTAAAAAATATGAAAAGTGAACCAATTAGAACTCTTTTCTGCCTCAGATTACTTTAGGAAGGGACAAAGGGTTTTCTACACAAAATCTGTTTAACCTTAAGTAGGATATTAACTAGGTCTCCTTATCAGTTGGCATTTGTGACTGATTTAACTACTTGAGTTTCAGCACTTATTTTGAATAACTGCAGAATAGCAGCACCTATCTGGTAAAACTTTTTATAGAATCAAACGAAGTTAAACCC